AAAAAAAACAACAACAAGAAATACCAAAACATGCAGCAAAAATACTAAAACTACTACTAAAATTCTAAAAACATACTAAAAAATACTACTAAAATATTAACAAACAAGGCACCGAAGGTGAAAAAGAAATACATCTACAGTGTGATTCAGTGTGTGGCGTCTGTGGCTGAGCGGTCAGAGCAGTCGTCCTCCAATGCGAGAGTTGGGGGTTCGAATCCACCAGCAGTCACATGCTGAACTGTCCCTGGGCAAGACACTGAACCCCTCATAGCCTCTGATGTGTGTCCCATCAGTGTATGAATGTGATAAAGCTCTGATTAGTCTCTTCAGAATGATTTGTTCAATTATCTTTGTAGAGATCTAGTAGAGTGCTGTGTGGATGGGTAAATGAGGCACAGATTCTTGTGTAAAGCACTTTGAGTATCTTGAAATCAGAATCAGATCAGAATGCCTTTATTGTCATTATACGCAGTACAATGAAATTAAGAGCCACTCCTTTTTCCAGTGCAAAAACACGCCTTAAGAAAACACACATTAAACACACACTAAAAATATAAAAAATGTAACGCTATATAGATATAATAATGAAAGTAAAAAATACAAGTATTACACAATTGTATTGCACATTATGGATATTAGTGAGGTAGTTAAGGTGACTGAGAGTATAAAATGTCAGTAGTATTGCACAGTAGAAGTCCAGGTGTTTGGGAGGTTAGATGATTAAATCAGTGCATGTGTGAGTTCAGTGTGGTGATGGCTTTCGGGAAAAAACTGTTCTTGAACCTGTTTGTTCTTGTTCTGATGCACCTGTAGCGTTTCCCTGAAGGTAACAAGTCAAACAGTTCAAAACCCGGGTGTGAACAGTCCATGATTATGTTTTCTGCTCTGTTGAGGCAGCGTGATGTGTAAATGTCCATCAAGGAGGGGAGAGGGCATTCAGTTATCTTTTGTGCTGTCTTGACTACTCTCTGAAGCCTCTCCCTGTCAGCCAGGGTGCAGCTGCCGTACCATACTGAGATACAGTATGTCAGCAGGCTCTCGATGGACGAGTAGTAGAAGGTCAGCAGCAATTTTGTGTTCAAGTTGTGCTTCTTAAGGACTCTTAAGAAGTGTAGTCTCTGCTGAGCCTTCTTGATGACCGCTGTGGTGTTCTCTTTCCAGTTTAGGTCAGCAGAGATATGGACACCAAGAAATCAGATAGAAAGGTGCTGTATAAGTACAGTCCATTTACCATTCAGTTAGCAGTGAGGTTCTTTCTGCATGGTTCTGTTCTGTTCGCAGCGTGATCTTGTTAGCAGCTTAGCAGATCTTGTTAGCAGGTCCAGTCCGCAGCTTGATGGTAATAAGAACTGCAGCAGCTGCCCTCACAGACCACAGTACAGAACCGGGTCCAGCAGACAAGCATCTCAGATTTCCCCATGGAACTGAACGGGTCCGTACTGCGTTTGCAGGCAGATGGAGGATCTTGTTAGCAGCGTTAGCAGGTCTTGTTAGCAGGTCCAGTCATCAGCTTGATGGTAATAACGACCGCAGCAGCTACCCTCACAGACTGCAGTCCAGAACCAGTTCTGGCAGACAGAGAACATCCAACAATTTTCCCGCGGAACTGAACGGGTCCGTAGAGTTAGGTCCATGCAGGCAGATGGAGGATCTTGTTAGCAATGTTAGCAGGCCCCGCTAGCTGATGATAATAATGACCGCAGCAGCTGCCCTCCAAAACTGGGTCCAGCAGACAGAGAACATCCAAGGTTTTCCCCACGGAGCCGAACAGGTCTGTAGATTTCGGTCTGTGCAGGCAGATGGAGGATCATGGAGGATCAACACACATCATGATTGTGTGTGTCAGAATCCATCATGTATGTGTGCATGCCAGTCTATTTTGTTTGTATTTGTGTTTCAGAGTCCATCGTGGTCAGAGTCCATCATGTGTGTTTGTCCAGAGTTGAGGAGTCTGATGGCTTGTGGAATGAAGCTGTTACACAGTCTGGTTGTGTTGGTCTGAATGCTGCGGTACCTTCTCCCAGATGGCAGGAGAATACAAAGTCCATGTGGTGGGTGAGACGGGTCCTCGCACAAGTCTGTTAGCCATTGCACCTCCTCTCTGTACGCTGACTCATCGTTATTGTTGATAAGTTCCAACACATTAGTGTCATCTGCAAACTTCAGGATGAAATTAGAGCAGTGCATTGCTGTACAGTCACGAGTAAGCAAAGTGAACAGCAGTGGACTGAGCACACGGCCCTGGGGAGCTCCGATGCTCAATGTGGTGGTGCTGGAGGTGTTCTTTCCAATCAAGATGGACTGAGGTCTCCCAGTCAGGAAGGCAAGGATCCATTTGTAGAGAGAGGGGGTCAGGCCCAGTGTGCTCAGCTTTCCAATCAGATGCTAAAGAATGATGATGTTGAATGCTGAGCTAAAGTCTATGAACAGCATCCTAACATGTTCCTGTTCAAGTGTGTGGAAGCCGGATGGTACGCAAACTGTAGTGGATCCATGGTGCGAGGCAACAAGGTCTTGATATGCTGCATGATGATGTAACAATAGAACAGCAACGTAACAATAATAAAATATATTGTGGTGTATTGTTCCAGGTCAGCAACTTGATTCTAACCAACTTTTTATTCCAGTTACTGGTACTGTAGTGAGTCACGTAGGTACGTGTCACTTGTTGTATGACAAATATATGAAATATATATGCATACAATATTCACGAGTTCTTCATTTTTCTGACTGTGTAATGCCGTGCATTGAATTTAACAGAAATGTAACGAGAGACGTTATTATCTTTGACCCATCAAATGAATGGAGTCATTTATTTTCAGAATCAAAGTTTAACATCAAACATTTACATTAATTTGGCAAAATATGAAAATAATAACAGACAGTTTCACAAATAATGAACTTCAAATCACTCGGCGGTGATTTGAGGACTTTGCTTCAGATATTTCTAAAAATATCTGTACTGATTTATGAGAGAGAGGTGAGTTTAAGAGGAAATTGAGATTTATCTTACAGAGGAATATGTGAGGGAATTTAATCTGTTTAACCAGAAATTGCACGCTCCGTCAGGTATCTCAGCTTGTCCCAGGTACACTTTAGTCGAAGAAGAAACCGTTACCTTGTTGACGATCGATCACCTCAGTAAGAATCCTTTTCAACTGATATCAGCGTCTCCGTTGAGAACAGCTAAAATCCTTGGAGAGTCGTGCGTGGTTAGCTCAAAACAGAATTATAATCCCAAAACGTCTCTGGATTCTAGTAACTCTGACTCTTCATTGTCAGCAGCTCTCAGACTCTTTCTCCAAAACTCTCCATAACTCTAGTTTTCTTCTGAACTCCTTCAGAACTTTTTCATTCTCGGAATCTTTTCCATTCTATTCTCACATGAACTGGGAAGTTGCCACATTTTATTTGGGTCGACTTCCGGTTCAATTTAGAGCTTTCTGATTCGTGGATGTACCAGAAAGAGGTGTGGTTTTTTGACGTAAGTTATTATCAAAAGTCAAGGATTGTTTTCAACATACAGAAAAGATTATTGCAGTCGACCAGACTTCGTGGAGTCTCACACTTGGTAATCTTTTCAAATAGTAAAACATGACATTTCTTCTTCAGTAAACATTTAGTTGACCGAAGCTTCAACTTTCACACACTTACGACTTGACTCATTTCAGACAGAAAATCAAGAAATGCATATTCAGGTGATTTCTTGTTTGAATGAGGAATAAAAATCATTACTTACTGTTTATGTAAAATAAAAATGAGTAGTTCTTTTCAACCTGTAAGCATTGAGTGACACTAACACAATTTGATTATCAAAACATTTGTAAGACAGTAATGATTA